CATCGTGCAGATCGACGGGACGCCGCGCATGGCCTACAAGGTCCGCGCCCTTCACCGTCACACTCCTCTCGTCAATCGTCGTCCTCCTCACTCACTCCCTCCTCCTCTTGGCCATCGTCGTCCTCCTATTCCTCCCTCCCTGGCTCCCTCCCTCACTCTATCTCGCTGTCGGCGGGGAAGGAACATGCGCCCACTTCTCGCTCTACAGCAAGCACCAGCTAGAAGCCCTCTTGCGCGGTCGTAATTTGACTCTCCATCCATTCCTCGGCACTCCTCGACCTCCACCCATCGCGCATCCCCGATGAGGAAAAGAGGAGCACGAATGGGGTGATGCCCTCTGGACCTCCTCCTCCCCCTTTTCGTAATCTTCTTCCTCCTGTTCAACTCCTCTCCTCTCCTCTCCCGCTCGTCGTGCTCTCCCTCCCCTTCCTCCACCACTCCCCCATCACGAGTCTTCTGACGCACATGGACAGCATCCGAAGCACATGCCAGTAGTTAAAGGAAGCATCAAACCCTGCAAACAAATGCACCACCCCTCATTCGAGTAGGGGATCGACTACAGGATTGATTTGCCCCAGACTTGATTCGATCGCCGCATCTACGAAACATGCGCATAATGTTCGTAGACCTACGAACATTATACGTATATGTTCGTAGATTCGGCGAGAAGTTCAAATTTGGGGTAACTCAAGTTTGTAGTCGATGCCCTACTCGACTCATCGGTTGGAATCTCCCTGAACATCCAGACCCCGCCAGTCTGCGCAAACCCTCGAGAGCTTACCCTGTCTCCCTCTGCTCCTTCCCATCCTCTCTTTCATTGATCGTCTTATTCCTTTTCGCTGTCCGTAGCCGTTTTGGCTCAAGATGCTTTTACCCGTGGCAGAGCACGGATACCGCTGACCCGCGGCAGTTCTGAATCATTTCAGGGGGGAGAGGGGAGGGGAGGGGGAGGAGGACCCCCCAGGACGGATGCGTATCTGACTCCCCTCCCCCCCTTGGGACTCCTCCCCACCTGAGGAGGATGACCCGAGGAGGACAGGCGCGCCAGAGAAGGACCTGCGTGGGAGTGGAGGACCCCCAGAAGCGATGCGACCTTTAACGTAATGAGGACGTGGACGGAATTCCCTCAAGCTGCGAACCCGTTCCCCGAAAGAGGAAGGGTACTCTCTCTCTCTCATCCTCCTCTCCCCCGACGGGAGAGGAGGATGGGAAGGAGGGGACGAAAGAAAGCTCCCCGTCGACGGGACCGGACAGACACCCCACACACGCCGACAGGGTCGGCGGATTCCAAAATTGGTGCGGGGCCGCCATGCGGACCCTGCCGCTGGGGCCTTCGGTGGAGCCCCTTCATGGGGCCGCGAAGCGTGTGAGGGATGTGCTCAAATTAGGTGGAGGGCCGCCATGCGGACCCTGCCACTGGGTCTCACGGGGCTCGAGGGACGTTGCAGTTGCGATGGCACCTCCCCTGGTCCATCAGTGGAAGTGGTTCTGCCGCCACTGCATTCACGAGCGGACGGGCAAGCCGCTTCTCCATGTTTTGGCAAAGGACACTGCTCCGCTCGCAAGCCGTCGAAGGGCGAGTGCTTCGCTTGCTTATGCTTCGCTGGCCTGATGGGCAAATTTCCCACCACCACTACCATAGGTAGGAGAGGGAGGAGGCGGAGGAGGAGGAGGAGGAACTTCACATTCTCCCTTCTCCCCTGTCCTGCCTACGGAAGTGGTGGTGGAAGATCGGCCCGTCATGCCCAGGTGCCGCTCCAGGAGCCCTCGGGGTATCACTCGGCACCAAGGGCGTGAGCAGGGGCAGTGCGGGTTCCCGTGTGGGTCGTCCCGAGGCAGGTGAGGTGGCCAAGCCTGCGGCGCAGGTCAGGCAGCTGCCGTCGGATCTCGAGCGGCCCAAGGCAGGGCCGGGGGAGGGCGACGCGGAGGTCGGCAGTGGCGCACGAGCGTGCGCGAGGCCCGTGGAAGCGCCCCGCTGCGATCGGCAGGGAGCGGGTGGCCGCCGAGATGTTCGGCGGAGCCGCCCGGCAAGGTGTGGTTTGCAAGGCCTTGTCAGCAGAGCAGGCGCAGTTGCAGGCCAACCTCAGCTCGTCGTAGTCTCGCTGCCAGCGTATGCGCGTGCTCTTGCGCCAGGGCAAGACCTCGCGAGCGAGGCCTGCAGAGGGCCGAGGCCGACCGGGGGGCCACGCGAGCGAAGCTGGCCGACCTGCAGGCCGAGATCGGCCAGAGCGAGCAGCAGTTGGTGGTCTCGGCGGCGAGCGCGGGGGGCAAATGGGAAGGAGAAGGGCTTCTCAGAAGCCGGCGGGTCTTCTCAGAAGCCCTCGCGCCTTCTGAGAAGTGTTCTGAGCCCTCGGGGGATGCTTCGAACATTTCTCCGAAGGCCGGGGGACTTCCGAGCCTTCTGAGAGGGCCCGCCCCTTTCTCACTTCCCCCCGGGCCCGCCGCCCATGGTCTCCCGGGCAGAGCTGGCGGCTCGCCGGCGCGCCGACCGGAGCCGCTGCGGCGGAGGCAGGCGGCGCAGCGGACCCCGCGTGCGCTTTTCGGCCCCCCAAGTTGGGCAAGCAGAAGCCGGCGGCGCTCCTGGAGCAGCTCGGGATGGCCATGCCCGACCGGACCCCGAGACTCGACTTTTGCAGCAGCCATGCAACATCGCAAAGAAGCGCCGCCATGGCGCCGCGGACCCCATCTTCCGGGTGCAGCTTTCACGCCGGGTCGATCTGTAAGGGCTCCGGGGCCCGGAGCCCGACGAAGGGGCCTGGCTCGGAAAAAAAAAGTACAACGCCAGGATCTCCAGCTGGCCGCTCGGCTGCCGTCCTGCGCGCCGCAGCAGCGCGTGCAGGTGGTGCTGGCAGCGACGTCGCTGGTTGCTGGAGGTGCCGCGGCGGCGCCGCCGTTGGCCCTCAGCCCGCGGCTGCCGGGCAGAATTCCCAGGCAGAAGCTATCGGCAGTCAGCAGCTGTTCTTCGAGCCATCGGAGATGCGCGCTCACTTGCAGCAAGCAGGGGTCCCAGACCTCCTCGCGCTGTGAAAAAAATCACGACGGAACGTCTTTCGCTATTTTCGGCCTCCTGGGGCCCTCCCTGGGCTTCGGGGCCGTCAGAAAACGACTCAGGATGAAAAACTGGTCCCTGGGGATGGGTCCCGACCGCTGCAGGGGTCGACGTTCTGAGAAAGTCATGACGCCAGAGGTCCGGAGCACCTGCTCCCGAGGGCGGCCTCGAGGTGCAGCGAGCCCCTGAGCGCGTGCGGGCTGCCTCCCTCTGGCGGTCGGCCGCACGCCGCCGCAGAAGGGGTCGGCAGCGGCCCTGATTCCATTCGTCGTCGCTGCGGCGATGAATTCACGGGCGAAAAGCAGTATGAAACAAACTTTTTCGTTGTCGGGGGCGCCTGTCCCAGGGCGGCTGGAAAGCTTATACCCTTACGGTGGCGCGTCCAGGTATAAATGGTCCAGCCGCCCTGGGGCAGCGCCCCCGGCGACGGAACAGTTTATTTTATACCGTTCTCCGCCCGCGAAATGCAGGCGGCAGTCCAGATGGCGCAGGCTGCGCAGCCTGCTCAGTGCGTCCTCTTTTCGTGCTCGGCCCGGGCCTCGCCGGCTGCGAGGGCAGGCGCCCTCAGACGCCGCCGCTGCCCACGGTCCGCTGCCCCGGGGCCGCCAGCCGCGCGGCGTGGGCCGCCTGGGATGCCGCTTGGCGCTTGGCGCCAGCTCGGCCCGGGCCGCCCGAGGGGGGCCCGCCGGGGCCGTGGGCCCCGCGGCGGCGGTGCAGCTCTCCGTGAACCGGGCGTCCACGAGTTCAACTCTCTAGCTATTTGTCGCCCGTGACGAAAGGTCACCGGTGCCATCGGAGGTCATTCGATTGCTCGCTCGCGTGGTGTTTCATGGAGTTTGGGTTCTCTGGCGCGGAAAACATTTTAAAAAAATACAAGGGCTCGCTGGCATGCGGCACGTTCGACGGCGCTCAGCGGTCGGGCGCGAGAGCGGTGGCGGAAGGGCGAGGGCCCGTTCGTCCCTTGCGGCTGAGGAGCTGGGGCAGAGGGTGCTCGACAGGAGGAAGCGCGAGCCCGACGAACCGATGGACGAGGTTGAACTTGTCTGTGTTTGCATGCATGGGGAGTGGGTGGCTCCCTTCAGCTGGTGCTGCGTTCCTGCTCGCTTGCGATTCCTCCCTTGCTCATCCACTTCCCCCCGTATCCTTCATCCCCCCTTCCGCCTTTGCTCCTCCTCCACCCCCCTGTCTCCCTGCCCCTCGTCCTCTTCCTCCTCCACCTCTTCATTTCCGCATCTTACACACGATATCCCTCTCCTTTTTTCCTCGCTCCTCCGCCCAACCCCCACCCCCCGACAGCGACGAGAACGACGGCGACGCCGAGAACAATGTCGACGACGACGACGACGACGACGAAGACGACGACGACGACGACGACGACGACGACGACTGTGACGACGACTGTGACGACGACGACGACGACGACGACGACGACGACGACGAAGACGACGAAGACGACGAACACGACGACGACGACGAGGAGGAGGAGGAGGAGGAGGAGGAGGAGGAGGAAGAGGAGGAGGAAGAGGAGGACGACGAGGACGACGAAGACGACGGCGGCGGCGGCGGCGGCCTCCTCGAGGCCTACGCCGAGATGAGCACGGGCTTCGAGCCGCGGAGCCCGCGGCCCGCCCTGGAGGACATCGTGCCCGGCTACCGGCTCCGCGCCTGCGGCGCCTCGCCGAGGCCCCCTCGGCCGCCTCGCCGGCCCTCGCCGCCGCTGCCCGCGGCCGTCGTCACCACCGCCGCTGCCCGCGGGCGCCGTCGCAGTCGCTACCGTGGTCGTCGCTGCCGTCGTGCCCGTGGTCGTCGCCGTCACTGCCGCAGAAGTCGGCGTCGTCGTCGTCGGCGTCGTCGTCGTCATCGTCGGCGTCGGCGTCGGCGTCAGCGTCGGCGTCGGCGTCGGCGTCCTCGTCATCGTCGGCGTCGTCATCGTCGGCGTCGGCGTCGGCGTCGGCGTCGTCGTCGTCGTCGTCGGTGTCCTTCTGCTCCACGTCGACGCCGTCTTGACTTTAGGTCGCTCCACAACAACCCCGTCGCCGCCGTCGGTGCGGTAGCCGCCGTAGTCGTCCACGCCGTCGTGCTCGTGGTCGTCTTCGCCGCCGCCGTAGTCGTCGTCGTACTCCGTCTCCTCTTCCACCCCCCTTCCCTGAATCCTGAAGCTTGTTATTTGTAACAGCCTCCAGGATGGAAGGCGGGTGGTTTTCAACATGTGGCTCTCGCCTTAGCGCCGCGAGCATTCGTGAAAAACGTTTGCAACAGATGCATTGGTGCAGGGTGGATGGTATTCAAAATATGGCCGTCGCCTACGCGCCGCGAACATTCGCCTGAAATGTTCGCACCCGTTTCGCTAATGCAGGGCGGGTGGTTTTCAAAATGTGTCTCTCGATGGAAGGCGATTCTGTTTCAAACTGTGGCTCTCGCTTCAGTGCCGCGCACATTCGCCTAACATATCTGCAACCGTTTTACGGATTCGTATAGTTGAAGTTCCAAGGATGGTGTTCTGACGCGATTTGGAATGTCAGGATGTAGCAGTTGCTTTGGTTCACGGTGTTACAGTTCCAGGATTCGTGTTTCAGCACGACTGAAGATTTGTCAGGGCGCAACTGTCACGGTGATCAGTGGTCTAGAAGTTCCAGGAGCAGTGTTTCTGCAAGGTTGGGGATTCTGGGAGAGTTGTCTTCTGATCGGCCACATCCCGTCATGAAAATACATGTAGTGTAGGATAATGCGAGGAGGGAACATGGAGAGAGGGTGTATTGCAACATCGTTGATGCGTCTTGGGTTTGCACTGGTCCTCCTCAGAGTCCTCGTCGCCGCCGTAGTCGTCGTTGCCGTCGCCATTGCAGTCGCCGCCGCAGTCGTCGTTGCCGTCGCCGTTGCAGTCGCCGCCGTTGTCGTCGAGGCCGCCATGGTGGTCGTCGTCGTCGTTGTCGCCGGCTGAGGCGGAGAGCGGAGGTGGGGGAAGGGAGGGGAGGAGAAACTCGCCAGAAGTGTTTGGGAGGACGGTTTGGGGCAGGAGACGGAGAAGCTCCTCCTTCTCTTTTCGTCGTCGCCTTGATCTTATTCGTCGCCCTCGTCGCCGGCGGAGGATGAGAGAGATGGGTGGAGAGAGGAGGAACGCAAGTTAGGTGTGCGTATGCATCCTCCCCCTCCACCCATCCCTTTCTCAGGCGTTAGGCATGTTCCCCGACCAGTCAAACGAGACTTTGATCCGCTAATAGCGCTTGCACGATTTGACCCATCGTTTGCAGTACCACTGTGATGAAGGCCTCTGCAACTTTGAGCGGGAGGGAGGAGGATGAGAAGGAGAAGGAGAAACAGGGCAGGAAGAGAATGAAGAGCTGGAGGTAGGAGGCGGATGATGGCAGAGGAGAGGGACGGCAACGACGACAGGAATCGGATCCAGAAATATGACCCGCGCCGGGGCGAGAGTGTCATACTGAGCAACGCGAGCAAAGCACCGACCCTGGAGTGCGGCAAACGCTGCAGCAAGAACACCATCTGAACGACCGAATACGTAGCGACATACACAACAAGCATGCCACTCATCAAGATATGCAACCTTATGTGAGTGGCAAATATATGCTGGAGGGTGGGTAGTTAAATAATGGGGTGTTGTCAGCGGAGGGATCAGACAACAGTCATGAGAGAGGAAGATGAGGTGGGGGAAGTGGTGGACATTCAACATGGGAAATGAAATTGTGAGTCCGCGAAGCGAAGCGAATCATGAAGATACTAGCCCTCTGGCTGATCGATCTGGCAACGTTGAAACCTTTCGCCAGAGTCCAGCATCTTTTCTCTGCAAGTGGTATCGCCGTGGTCTGTGCAGGCAACGGCTCCAGCCGCATTCTTTTCCAAGGTCTCGAACCTATTGGGAGCAGGGAATCCGCTTGCGCCGCAACACCAGAGCTCAAGGCTACCGTGGTACGTGAGAATATGTGAGAAGTGCAGCCACCCTCCCGCACAGTGAAACTTAGTCCCCGCAGGAGGTCTATCGAAGGTCCCGTTCGGGGGCTCGAGGTCATACGAGGGTGACTCAAGCCTCTCAGCAGCACGCGCTTTCGTCGCGGACCCATTACATACCGGACGCAAACGGCCATCGGCGTTGAGAGTGCGCTGCATGCGTGCGGAAGCGGGCATGGCCGCTGTTGCAGGGGCGGGCGGAGTAAGGCGATGAGGTGTTTGTCCGCATGACGCCTCGGACGAGGATTAACAATCATAAAGTCCAGTGTTGCTCGGAGCAGGCGTCGCCTGACCAGTTCAGCACCCTTTTCGAGAGACAACACACGGAACCAATCAATTTATTGGACTCGGGATTGTTTTGTGACCTCGCTTGCCAACACGTCGGCACGCTTGTCACCCTCGCGCATCCATGCAGCATACCCTTTCTGCAGAGACTCACTTTCTGACAAATGTGAGCTCATGAATATGACTTGTGAGTGAAAGTGGTGGGATCAGGGAGGGGAGAGGGGGGAGGCAGAGAGTTGGAGAAGGTTGGGGTAGGAGGAATATGTTGTGAACGCCTTACGGCCGATGCCGCCGACCCTGAACGACGGCGACGTGACGACGACGACGACGACGACGACGACGACGACGACGACGACGACGACGACGGACGACGACGACGACGACGAAGAGACGACGACGACGACGACGACTACGATGACGACGACGCACTGAGGGCCCTGCCACAAGTTCGGGACATGGGGCGGGGGGAGGGATGAGGAGGAGGAGTTGGAGAAGGAGGAGGCCGAGGAGGAGGCGGATGAGGACGAGGAGGAGGACGAGGAGGATGACGAGGAGGATGACGAGGAGGAGGAGGAGGGAAGAAGAGGAGGAGGAGAAGGAGGAGGAGGAGGAGGAGAAAGAGGACGCCCTCCTGGGCCGTCTTTGGGGCCTCCACTCTTGATCCGTTTTGGGGCGGTTGTGAGCCCTGGGACCCCAGTAGGCACCCTCCTGGGACCCCAGGGCCTCCCTCGGGACCCCCTCCTAACCATCCCCCCCCAGGGAGGGGAGGGATCAAAGAGAGGGGATTCCCTTCGACTCAACTTTGCTCAATTTCGCGTTGGTTTCGCGTTGGCTGGCTCGCTTGAGAAGGAGGGCCCAGAGGAAGGGGGGAGTGGCGATGGGCCAAGGGAAAGAATATCAAACGCGACGACGACGGCGGCGGCGACGACGACGACGACAAGGACGACGACGACGAGTCAAACAGAACAGCTTCTTCCACACGCCGACAGGGTCCGCGGATAGTAAAAGGAGGAAGGGGGATGCGGAGAAGCAGGGAAGAGGGAGGGGAGATGGAGGAGGAGGAGAAAGATCAGGAACAGGAGGAGAAGCAGTAGCCAGATGCCTAGGAGGCGTGTGAGCGGGGAAGTGGGCTCTCTCATGCCCACAAGGGCTGTGGGCAGGGCGCGCTGTGTCATCATCGACCTAACCGCGGCGATAAAACAAGCTACGGTTCAAGCTGTTGTGCTGCCTTTCCTTGGAACACACCAGGGTCAATATTATCATCGGGGAAAGGCAGTTACACTTGCACACAAGTGTCCTGAGTACTGTGAGTCATACATCCCTCTGCGAAACTTCGCGCAAGTCTTTCCCGCTTCGCGTCGGCACCCCCAGACCCCCAAACTTCAATGTTGATGCCGAGACGCGACTCTTTTTTCCGTCGGCGTCCACGGGCCGTGCCGCGCACGCAACTGAGCATTGAAATTGTGGGGCGCGCGGGAGGCGGGAAAACTTGCGCCAAGTTTCGCGGAGGGTTGTAGTATCATAGACTCAGGCCCTCCCGCGGCGCAGGCATGCCGTCCAGAATTCACCCAAAAGCAATCCCCAGCCAGACCCCTCCTAGGGGTACCCAGGTGCACCCAGCACAGTTGTTCATCCCGCGTCGATATTCGACGACCCCAGGGCCGGGAAATGACCCCCAGAGACTGGGCTCAAAGAAACGCATTCGAGACCGCGTCCACAATTTCCCCTTGTCGGCCACGCTCGTAGAGCCATCTTGCCTCTGCTCTCATTGCTTCTGAGACCACGGCGCTTGGAATTTCTAGAGAAAGTCCATCGGCTCGTGCAGGATTGTTGCCTGCGGGAGTGCGTCCGTGGAGAAATATCAAGAGCATCGAGCGCGTCGTCGTCGTCGTCGTCGTCGCAGGGTTGGGTCGGACGAACTGGGGAGCTTGGGAGCGAGATCTGCTGCAAGCAGCTGGCTTCGGCCCCGCCCCCAGGCGCCTTCGTCGATACATTGGCACCTCTGGTGCCGGGAGGCGCTGGAAAATCAGCTGCGCCACCCTTTGCTACACCTCCCCTCTTCTCGTCTGATGGCCCAGCAGGTGCGCTGGCCACCTGGGCAACTGCTGCCCCACCGCGGACGGCCTGTTCCGCGATTGCTGCAGCAGCGACGCGGTGGGCGACCACGACACCGGGGAGGACCCGCCGCCGACCACGACGGCGTCGGCGGCGGCGGCGGCGGCGTTGACGAGGATGAAGTTGGAAGCTGGATCGGCCTGCCTCCGAAGAGGCAAGTCCGATAGGAAGAGAGGCAGGGATGAAGCACGAGAGAGTGCGCGGCACGAGTTGGCCACGCAGCCCAGGGACACGGTGCTCGTCTTCACCACCATTATCATCAACGTCATCGCCGTCACAATCTCGACGAGGATGGCGAGGGGAGGGAGAAGGACGAGGACAAAAACAAGGGGGTCAAGGATAGGATGAGGTGGTCAGCTGACGTCCCCCAGAAGGGGTCCCATCGGGGCCCTGCGGCCAGGTCGCAGGCAGTGCCGGAACTGCCTCTGCATGCAGTGCAGCAGGCTGGCGTGTGCAACAGCCAGCGCGACCCAGGAGGGGCCCAGCTCGCTCGACGACTGCAGCAGCGCCGGCGCGGCGAAGGCGGCGAGGAGCAGCAGCGACAGCTGCGCATGCAGTGCGGTGAGCCTTGTGCGGAGGCTGCTCGGGGAGGGCACGCCGAGGCCGTCCCCCCGGGGAAGCAGCCCACAACCACCGCACCACGGGAATCTCGGACCGAGCTGATCTTGACGCTGGATGACCACAGGCACCCCCGTGGGCGCTCCAGCGAGCGCTTCCTCCCAGAGCCTCTGGTTCGCGCCGTCCTGGCCCACGTGGCCCAGCGCACTGTCTCTCGGCCCTCGGGCAAAGCACGCGCACACCTTGGACGCACAGATAACACCAGTAATGCCCCGACCGTATCGCTAATGCACTGTCCAGTACGTGTGCGTATATGGCCGCGACGGGCACGTCAACGAGCAACTGCACTGTGCCCGCGCGGACACCGAGATCTCGAAGCGCTCCCGCAGGCAACTCCAAGCGCTTGACCCCCACCCTGGGAGGTCTGGCGGACCGAAAGACCATGGGGAAGGTGACCTACGGGCTCGAGATGGAGTGTCGGCGCTCATCATGCACGCATGTTCTCTGCATTATGAGACTTCTGATCTCACATTTGGGAGGTTGTTTAATGTATGGAGGTTTGGGGAGCAATTGCACAGCATGTGTTCAGTGGCGAGTAGTGGCGCACACTCCGCCAGTTTTCTTCTCTGGAGGTCTCTGCGGGTCTCCAGGGGTTTCCAGAAATCCCCTGAGGCCTCTGTGGTTCCCCGTGCCGAGAGGGAGGGAGGAAGAGGAGCAGAGGATCAGGGAAGGAGGGAGGAGGGGGAGGAGTGGGGGGGAGGTACGAGGAGGGAGGAGGAGGAGGAGGAGGAGGAGGAGGAGGAGGAGGAGGAGGAGGAGGACGAGGACGAGGAGGAGGACGAGGACGAGGAGCACTTGGACGAGGGGGAGGAGGGGGCAAGAAAGACCCGAGGTGAGGGCAGCGCTGGGCACTGCGGCGGAGGCGGCACGGCCTTCCGGGGGGGCCAAGGGCGTGGCGCGTGACGGCTCCTCGGCTGCGGTGGCACCTCGGCGGCGGCGGCCACGGCGACGACCACGGGCGACGGCGCCGCAAGCGGAGCCGGCGGCGACGACGCAGACCGGCGTTTCCAAGAGCGGAGGCGACAGCGACGACGGCCTCGCGCTCTCCGGAGCCCAGGGGCCCCCCGAGGTGCCCGGAGGCCCGAGACGTGCCAAGAGCAGCGCCTCGTTGATGCTCGACGCTCCATCGTCGACGAAGTCGAACCGCAGAGACGACGAGCCTCGCGCGAGGCGGAGGGACGGCCACGGGGGGAAGCCAGGCCGGGGCGGGAGGAGTTGCCCCTCCTCGGGCGCATCCAGGGCGCGCAGTGCAGTCGGTGGGCCGGTTCAGGGCCCCTCTGGGGCCACGTTTCTGCACCTCTCGTTCGCCACCCGCTCAGTGCCCCCCGCCCGCACGAGGACATAGGCCCATCTGCAACAGAAATTATGATAGACAGATAGAGGGAGAACAAACAAAAAGTACAAGACTGCATTTGCAATTCGCGCCATGCACCTTGGTCCTTCAGGTTTTGGCCACCTCGCTTCCACTCGCGGGGTCCCCCGAACGACTGGATCACGATTTGGAGTGCTTCGGGGGGCGTCTTGCGGCCATCTTGGGCCATCATGTGGATCTCTTTTCTGCCGTGTTGGGGCACTGGTGGGCCGCCCTGGGGCTCTGGTTGGACTGTCCCCGTTTGGGTCGTGTCGAGGCGATGTTCACGCCTCCAGGGCGATCTCGGGCTCCCAGAAGACCGAAGAAGTGAGATGGTCCAAAATCACACAAAAAAAAAAACATGGGACATTTTTTATTGTGTTAACCTGGGGGCCAGGGGCGCAGTTTGAGCATCAACTTCCCCTGTCAAAAAAAACAGGGTGCGACCGTCGAGGGGCACACCCTGATTTGAGAAAAAAACAGTATGCACCAGTGAGGGGGGATCAACAATAACAGAAATGAGAGCTCAACGCAACAAGCAGGATCCTCACCACGGATTCGCAGTTCAGCCACGCACCCAGGGACATTGAATGACCGCTGGGCCCCCTCACTCTGATTAGTAGAAGTGTGTATATATATATATATATGTATATATATGTGTGTGATACGCAGAACTCAGATTGAGTACCACCTGCTGGATTACAAAAAAAGTGCGGACCCCGTTAGACGACTTCGACGCACCCAGACCCGCGAAGATCCACTCATCATCAAGCGGCATGGCCAGACTCACTCATATCCGCGCTTGCTCGCGCGCAGATTGATGGACGCAGTGTTGGCGCGCTGGTGCACGCGCGAAATGGACGCGGAGGTCCTGCGCGGCATTTGCATTTTCTGGCGACATCAGATTGGGCGATACATGCGGCTGGGAGGATTTCCCAAGCGGACTCGTCAAATTCTGCCCGCATGCAGCTGGAAATGGAACCGAGGAATTTTGCCCGAGGCAGTCATATTGCCAGAGAAATTCTCCGGTTGCTCCGGAAAGCGACCAAATCTGTTTCTTTGAAGAAGTTTTGGGCGGAATCTCGATTCTCCGGTTGTCACCCGATTTTGCGATCATAATCGTGAAGGTGGGGATGCAGGAACCGGAGCATCTCGATCCCGCCCCGATATTTCTTTCAAAAATACTGCCCGATCGCCTTCTTGAGCGACTGGAGAAACCCTGGGCTGGTCTCTGCAACATTGTACATGGGCCCCGGGGCCTAACAGGATCATCATCGCACAACTCGCGCTATTTCTCCAGTCCTCTTCTTTTAAATCCAGCAGGATATAGAGTTCGGAGGCGGTTCATTGAGTGCCCTGTCCCGTTCGAGATTTTTGTTAGCCGTTTCGCTAGGGCATCCTCCGAATTTGGGAAGTCGGTGGCGTCCCTCACACAGATCGCGACGTCAGGATCCAAAAGCAAGAAGGGTTTACTACATTTTAACCGAATGCCTTCCAAATCATTATGATTTGTTTTATAATGTTGGGCATGGCTCTTCAAACGAGGCCATTTCGCCTGAGACATTCTCCCACGATCAAGTCGAAGCTTTTCCGTCTTAGCAAAAAACATTCCAAGACACACCTTCTTCGGGAGCCTCCCAGACCTCCTGGAGCCTACCCTTTGGACCTCCTAAGGCCTCCTGCAGCCTCCAGAAGCCTCTGGGTGTCTCCTCCTGGACCTTGCTGGGAGTTCAGAACACAGACGCACATACACACAGACACACGGACACTGACACACATCACACAGCACATCGCGCGCGACACAAACAGAATCCACACAACACCTACAACATACAGGAATCACGCACACAACACACACACACACACGCACAACACACAAACACTTAACGCACAACACACCCAACACACACACACACAAACCACTCACATCACACTCAACACACAACCTGCAACACCTTACACACAACCCACATAGTAGCACACTTAGCACACACAGAACACACAACGCTCACAACACACACACACGCAAACAAAGAGACACCTATACATGATTCACACAGCACGCGCAGCACACAAGACGCGCACACAACACAGACAAACACACACACACACGAACATACACACACACACAATTAACAGAACACAGACATAACACACCCACACGAACAACCCACGGTAGAAGGCCAGGCACTGCTCAGGAAGAGGCACGGTCGGGAATTTTTGCTTAGCGTGTCGCGCTGCCGGTTCTGGCCCGCCTTGCTTCGGCGCGACACGCGCATCAGCGTCCCGAGAATTTCCCAGCCTCCCGCCCCGCGAAGCGGAGCGACATGCTGTCCGCTTGCGGGGCAGAGCGTGTCTCTGGGGCCAGCGCCGCGACACGCGACGCGCGCAGCTCAAACGCTCCAAGCGCAGGGGTTCATTCCACTCTCGAACGGCCAGTCCCTGACGTTGCCCCCTTGCTTGCACCGCCGTTGACGTAAAAAACGCCCACCATGCATAGTGGACAACGCTGCTGTGTTCAGAACCCCCGTACCCCCGAATTTCGATGTTGAAGACGGAATTTCCATGGCGGTGGAGTTTTGGTAGCTTTTTATACCGATGCTTCCACCCCGACAACGGCCGCGAACGCAACCTTGAAATTGGGGGGTGCGGGGGCAGTATCGTCGAAACAACGTCAATGGATTGGCGTCTTTAGCGCCAACAGCGGCATGTCCGACCGCGGCCGCCTGCGTCCGCCGAGGAGACGCCGGCGCCCGCGCCCGCGCCCAAGATCCGGCCGCACTCGCAGCAGTTGCCGCCCGCGCTCGACCTCGGCCCCACGTCGGGCTCTTCGCCCGCAGCGGGCGCGTCGACGGCACCAGCGCAGACGGCGACGGCGGGAACGGCGGCAGCAACAGCGACAGCGGCGACAGCGACTGCAACGACGACCCGTGGTCGTCGTTGTCGTCGTCGTCGCCGTCCGACGACATGATCCAATCCTGTTTTTTTGTGTTCCCCGATTTCGGCCTCCCCATGGGCTGTCAAGTGCAGATCTGTCACAGAAGAACAAACGAATGAACCACCACTTCGGACATAATAGCCCAGGCCTGGATGAGACCGCATGGGGGAGGCTAAGGCCTCTTCTTGAAGCATGCAAACATGCACCGTGACTGAAAGACAGATCAATGGCTGATGCAGAAGGGGGGAGGAGGGGAAGGAAGTCCTGGTTGTGGATGTTGACGATGTGCTGTCGTGAGTCGTGTGCTGTCCTGTGGTGTGGGTGTATTGGAATGTATTGATGCTCTAGTGTCGATCAAGTGAGTATTGCTTGTGCCGATTGTATCCAGGTGAGGTCATTCGGGTGGCCGCTTTTTATTGAATGTTGTGGGCGTTGCGGCGTTGGGTGTAGGTCGGGTCCGTGTTGCTTCACGTCGTCGTCCCACCGCTTGCGTTATCCTCATTGTTGCCGCTGTCCGTGCTGTCGTGGGCTTTCTCCTGAAGGCCAGCGTAGTGCTCTTCACGTCCAACTTACGCGCTCGTGTTTGTAAACCCTAAACCGTGCGCCATGACTTCTGCCTGTGAATTGTCTTCCAGCTTGCGATACACGCCGCGTAGAACGCAGATTGTAATCGACCCCGGGCGCCACTTCCATCTCCATTTTCAGAGCGGTTAGATTGTCGCAGTCGCTGTGATTGTCCAGAGTTGCAGTTCTGTCGTGTGGCGGCGGTGGGTTGCTGTCCGCGTCGTCGCTGGGGGCTCCGGGAAGGCCGTGTTTTGTCACTCGTGCCCAGTGCTTTGTCATTGCCGCCTGGCTGTCCGCGTCGTGCTGGGGGCAACCGGCTGAGATCATTGCCCAGTGCCTTGTCGTTCGTGCCGTCGACAGCCGTTGGTCTCGTGGCTGCAGCTGTCCTGTCCGTGCGGTGGATGCCCTGCTTCTTAGACCGGCGCTGGCCTTCTCTATAGGCGTAAGGCCAGGGCCTTCTAAGAAGCAGGGTGCCTCTAAGAAGCCTTCCCCCCTCCCCCGACCCCCCTTCTGCGCGCCGCCAAGGATGGTGCGTCGTCAGGGTGTCCTGACGATCCTGCGAGGCATGCGTCGTATACGGTCCGCCGCGGGTGTTGCCGCAGAGGCTCCGCGTGCGCCCACGCCTCTGCCCCGCAGAATAAGTACCTCGGGGGAACGGGGCGGGACCTCCGGGGCCGCGCAGTGAAGAAGACGTATCCTCGGACGTCTGTCAGGATTTATGCAAAGTACGTGGAAGGCATTGGTTGCTGATGTTGCCTTTGCAACCTCCTCACATGTCAGTGCTCGCGTGCGCGTCCCTTCACATGCGTTTTCCCTCCTGCGTTGCCCCCATCCCTGGCTCCTTGTCGCCATTTGCCCTCTCGCCCCAGGTTTTCGTGGAAAAAGACGCGCGGGCGGCACAGTGAAAAGCTGTACCACCAGACTATTTTCAGGCGATCGCAAAACATGGATCAAGGGGGCGTGGCTTAGCGACGGGTCCCGCTTCCTCGGGAAATCGCGGATTTCCGCCGCCAAGCGAGGCGGCACTGGCCGCATTCTGGGGAGGGCACCTCCCCCGATCCATGGACTTGGCGACCGCGCGCCAAATCCATAGATCGCTAATCAATGTTTGCGCGCCCCCGAATTGAAAAAGCCGCATCGTCGGACGTCTGGGACGGCGGCGGCGGCGGCGGCGCCGACATTGGCTACTGGCGGGGCAGGGCGACAGCGACGGCCCAGACTCCCTCGCACCGCGACAAAGTCGCGACGGCAGGTTTCTGGCCGTTCCCTCGGCCTCTCAGGAGGGCCCTGGCCAGGCCCGGGGAACATGAAGATTCGACTCAGGATGAAGAGCCGGTCCCAGAGGAAGAGGTCCAGACTTCGGGGTTCCGCGATGTAGGCACAAATCGCGGCGTCGGGGGTCTGGGGCTGACAGCGACGACGGGGACGTCGTCATCGTCGACGGCGTCGTGGTGGATGCGATGCTTGCCCCGTTTCTGGAGGTTCTCGTCGCGGCTTGGAAGCTGTGGCCAGAATGGACTCATGGGAGGGGCCCATTGGAACCAGTTTTGGAGCGGAGTCGCATGGGAGCCAGGGCGACGGGGGCTGCCCCCGACAAGTGAGGGTGGACTTCGCAGAAGGGCCCTGGTCGCACTTTCACGTCCGCCGCTCCAGACCAGGGGGCGGCTGCCCCGAGGGGGGCTCTCCCCCCCCGAAGAGTGCAGGTGGACTTCGCAGAGGGGCCCTGGTCGCACTTTCACGTCCGCCGCTGCAGACCAGGGGGCGGCTGCCCCGAGGGGGGCTCTCTCCCCTGGGCGCGGCTGGCCCGGCCCCCTCGCACAGCCAGGCGCTGCCGCGTGTGGTCGTCACGAGGCGGCCCCCTCTGTTCGAGGCCTGGGGGCCCACCACTGACGGAGGCCTGTAAATTGGCACCAACACCAAGACAGGGGGTTGCCTCCACAGGGGGAAGGTGATCCTAGATTTTCGGTGCTGGTGGTAATAGTTCGGCCACCTGGGAGCCAGAATATTACCACCATCGCCGAGATCGGGATCTTCTTCCTTCGGTGGAGGCACACCGCCGAACTTGGTGTTGGTGACAATCTCAAGGCCTGCGACACTGACGAAGATGAAATTGCCTAAACAAAAACTTTCTGAGCTCCGCGCAGACTTTCTGGGTCGGCGCCGGGCCCCCCTGGCGGCGCCTCCAGCGCCGCCCCCGAGCGGAGTGCCGAACGTGTCTTTGGACAGCGGGAGCCCATGCCAAGAAACACCCTGCTTGCCTCCGGGGGGCCCTGGGTTTCTTGGGCTCTGAGGGCTTTTGCTGCGGAAAGCGCGACGCTCCCACACCAAAACATCATGGACGTCCTGGGGTCTCAGGGTTGGGCTTCTTGTGGGAGGTCTCGTGTGGTCGAGAGGAGGAGGAGGACGAGGAGGAGGAGGAGGAGGAGGAGGAGGAGGAAGAGGAAGAGGAAGAGGAAGAGGAAGAGGAAGAGAGGAGGAGGAGGAGGAGGAGGAGGAGGAGGAGGAGGAGGAGGAGAAGGAGGAGGAGGAGGAGGGGAGGAGGGAGGAGGAGGAGGAGGAGGAGGAGGAGGAGAGGAGGAGGAGGAGGAGGAGGAGGAGGAGGAGGAGGACGGGGAAGGGAGGAGGGGGAGGAGGAGGAGGAGGAGGAGGAGGAGGAGGAGGAGGAGGAGGAGGAGGAGGGAGGAGGAGGGGGAGGAGGAGGAGGAGGAGGAGGAGGAGGAGGAGGAGGAGGAGGAGCAGGAGGAGGTCAGGGGGCTCCTGCTGTATCCTCTTCCGCCACGGAGGGGGAGGCTGGAGGGCCCCCCGAGGCCAGGGTTCCGTCGGCTCCCCGGCGGGGGGAGGGCGGAACACGGAGAGAGCAGGCCTCGGCGCGCGCCCGCGGGCTGCTCCCAGCGCGCCGACGTCTTGCTTGCCTTAAGGTCGGGCGTGTCCCTCTACAGGAGGAGTCTTCAAATACACAGTCCAAAACCCGAGTAAGGACGCGCAACTTTGCTCAGGTTGCCCTTGCGTCCTTGCGATGCTGCTCCTCTAGGCACCAACGCTTACCTGTTAAGGACGGAGGTGAGTCAGGGTACCCTCGCGTCCTTGGGGTTTTCGTCGTCAACTTCGGCTTCCAAGGGTCTTGCGTCCTTACCGCGCGTCCTTGTTAGGGTTTTTGACTGTAAGAACAAATAGTCTGGGGACGATTTGGTTTTGTTTGATGTGTGTACTGCGTTTGCTCCCTGCTCTTGTCGGGCTAGCTTCAACCTGTCGTCCAAAATCCGCCTGTAGGAGGACGTGCCTGACCTGATGCTTGCCCCCCTGGAGCGTCCGCTCACGGCGCCACGAGCGGGGGGGGGGCTTCTTGGAGGCGGGGCGCCTGCCTTGGTCGGCCGCCCCACCCCCCCCGCTCGCCCCGCCCACTCTGGCGAGCCGCCGAGGCTCCACCGGCAAGTGCAACGTCAACCACCCGGTCCCGTGCTGCCAGGACTTGCCGAGCGCGTTCCTACGGGGCGTGAAAACGACCACAGCCAGCCAGAGTTGAGCTTGGCACCAGGGAAATGACCACGACCACTGCTTCTTTTTCGGCCGGCTGGAAGGCGGCGCAAACAAGAAGCAGTGGCTGTGGTCATTTTCCAGTCCCGCAGTTCCTCTCCTCGCAGAGTGCCCACTCGCAAGCGTTCGCACACACAGTTGCTTGCCTCGGTGTGACACATATCGTAGATGCCCCGCGGCGGATCCAGGCCACTCGCGAGTGGTCGCTTTTTGCGAGTAGCGGTGCGCGCTTGTCTGAGGACGGGGGCTCCTGCGGCGTGTGCTCTGGGGACCAGTGCTGCGCCGGCGACGAGGGCTCCGTCACGTGTCCGTCGGCCTCCACGGCCCACGTGGAGGGCTGCATCAAGCCGAAGCTGTACGATTGCACGGGCGAGACCGGCATAGAGGCGCCGAGCACTACGATCTTTGGTGGAAGTCAGATCAAGTCACCCCGCTCGCGCGTGGGCGGGCCCACAAATGCACGACCGGGAAAAGCAGGCTTCGGCGCGCTACGGGTAGGACAGTGCTGGATGAAGCAAATCTGATTTCGCGGTGAGGTCGTCCGCCCCGAGGTGGGGCAAGGCAAAAACCGGGGAGTGGGAGAGAGGGAGGGGAGGTGGTCATAAAAAATAAACAAGGAACAGCATCACAAACATTGAAAACATAGAGGCGCCGAGCACCACCACGGCCCAGCACCAGAACTCGAGCACCCGGGAGCGGCATTCTGACAAGGCTACGTCCACCACCCCGATCGAGTACAGTTGCGACTTCGAGGGCGAGCCGAACTGGCGAAACGGCTGGTCTTGAGAGGAGGGAGAGATACCGACACCATCTTGCTCGTCCTGGAGAGCCCTCGCCGCCACGCCTGGATGCTCCTCGAGATTCTGGTCAGAACGCACCCCGGGCGAGGTCTGAGGAGTGGCCGTATCGGTAGCTTCTTGCCCCCCCAGGTCCGACATGAAGAAGGCCTGGTGCTGCAAGAAGCACGGGGTCGCCTGCGCAACCGGCCCCAAGGGCCTGCGCAGGAGATCCGATGCGGACGGGACCACGACCCTCGCGCCGTTCTACAACTGCAGCGCTCCCGCGGAGGAGCAGGAGCGATGGTCCTCGCTCAAGCGGGCGTGGTGCCGCGTCATGCAGGGCTCCGACGAACCCGAGGCCCAGAAGGAGGCCCAGAAGGACGCCCCTGGGGAAGGCGGCAAGGCGTACGATCCGGAGCTGGACCTGGGCCGTGAGGGAGGCGCCGCCCTCTCTGGGGCGGTCGTGAGGAACTCCGTCGGTGGCTCGGACCAGGAGCCGGGGGAAGACCAAGAGCATGGTTTGTCTCAGGCTCTGGCAAGTTTAGTTGCATGGACGGAGGGGGGGTGGGGGCTGGGCGGGCTTGAACCTGAAGCAAGCCGCAAACGACTTGCACTTGCGGACGCCACGCAAGTCGAAAGGGGCCGAAGACAGCAAAAGGTTGCCCGTCGTGCGAGAGGCGGCGGGGCCGACGAGCGTCCCTAGCGAACCATCCCCTTCCTCGACGTCCCCCTCGCCTCGCCCCAAGACGCACGCCTGCGGCCGGAGGCGGCTTCGACAGGCGAGAGGAGGGCGCCCCGGAGGGGGATGGTTTGCGGGGGGTCGGTTGCAGGCCGCGCCCGAAAGGATTTGGACGCCCGAAATGGGTACGGAAAGAATGGGTACAATGCCCAACAGCAGTCCCTGCTCATTTTGAGCAGGACTCGCTGTCCGCACCGCCGCGGCCTGTGTCCATTTGGGACAGGAGGCCGCCTGCGCAACAGCGGCCGCTGTTGGTTTGGGACAACGTTTGTTGTTGGGCACTGCACCCATTTATTCGGTACCCGTTTCGGGTGTCCAAAAAGGAGGCGGGGCCGCCGAGCGACATCGTCCTGGACGAGGGGGGCGTGCGAGGGGAGCTCCGCGCGGGGCTGACCGCCTTCGCGCGGCGCGTCGGCGGCCCGGGGCCGTGGGCGCTGGCCTCCGCCGCCGCCTTCGTGGGCGCGCTCTCGCTCGTCGCCTTCGCCGTGGCGGTGGCGCGCGGCAGGACCGCCGCGGGGCGGAGGGCCGATGCCGACGCCGGCCCCCCCCTTGCGCACGCCCAGGCCTGCACGCGTTGTGGAGAGATCGCGGCGGGAGGCTCCTCGCCGTTGTCGGCCTCCAGGAGTCCTTGCGGGACGGGAGCATGACCACAGCCATTGCTTCTTGTTTGCGCCGCCTTCCAGCCGGCCGAAAAAGAAGCAGTGGTTGTGGTCATCTCCTTGGTGCCAAGCTTAACGAAAATGACCACAACCACTGATTTGTTTCTGCTTGCTGGAAGGCGGCAACAAAAGAAAAGCAGTGGCTGTGGTCGTTTCCACGTCCCGTAGTCCTCGTCGTTGGGCCTCGGGGCCGTCAGAGCACGGCTCGGGATGAAAACCCGATCCCCGGGGAGGGGTCCAGACCTCTGGGGGTTCTGATGTTCCCAGCCTGCTGTAGCCTTGATCAACAGAAAAGAACTTGAAGCACCAAGAGAGTACCGACACTGGAGGGCTCTCGCGTGTCGGGCCCTTACTCGTTCGACACCGTTCCACTACTTCTCTGGGTGCTCGAACTTATTTCTGGGATGTTGCCCTGAAGTGCGACGGGAGCAACCTCACTCTGGGGGTCGACCTTGCGAACGAGCTGCGGCGTCGGGGGTCTGGGCGCCTGGGGGCCCTCTGGGGCGGCTGGGCCGATCCGCCGCGGAATCCTGGCCTCGGAAAAAGGCCAGTCGCGACCACGGCGGCCTCTCTGGTCTCTGTGGGGCCCCCTGGGGGCTTCGCGTCGCCACGACTAGGGGGCCACATGCGAACCCCACCCTCCCCCTCAGAAATCGTGGGGGGCAGGGGTAGGGTTCGCATGTGGCCCCCTAACGGCGGGATCTGTGCGGGAAAGCTGTTCCTCTGATGGACTCCAGGTGGGGTCCGGGCAAACGTGCCCCTTCTGTGCGCAATCGTCCATTCTCAGACTGCTGGGAAGAAGGATTGACTCCATTGGGCCAGTGATTCGAATTCCGGATTCTGCTTCGAGTTTCGGCGCTCCAGCGCCCCCGCCGAGCTCTTCGAGCTCGTTTTGTTTGACTCTGGCAAGTCTACTTGCGCGGACGGGGGTGGGGCCTAAACCTGAAGAACGCCGCAAACGACTTACACGTGCGAAAATCACGCAAGTCGAAAGGCATGTGATCGTTCGTATTCGGTTGAAGGAGGGGCGAGAGGTGGGGGGCCGGGGCGAACGTCTAAAAAAACAGGCCTTGGCGAACATCGGCGCCTTGCCTTGCCTTGCCTTGCCTTGCCTTGCCTAGGAACTAGGGGGGATCCAGGGACCAGATTCGAAAGGACTTGGGTTGGGCGGCGGAGCCGCCGCTGTGTCAGGGCGCACCCCTGGGAGAGGTTCGAGATCGGTATCCATGATCCCAGACCCCCTCGCCTTGTGAAAAAACACGACGGAGGTTTTCGTTATTTCTGAGTTCTGGGGGCCCTTCCCGGGCCTCGGGACCATCAAAAGACGATTCAGAATAAGAAACCGGTCCCGGGGAAGGGGTCCAGACTTTGGGGGGTTACGTCATGAAAAAAACACGATGTCGGAGGTCTGGGATCGAAGACGCTTGCGGCGAACTAGCAGCGTCACCCCCTATCTTTTGGAGACGTGGGGCAGGATCTTAGGGTGGGAAACCGATGCGGATGCCGGTGCCCTTCCTTCGTTTTCGCATGCGCTCGAGGGTTAGTAACTAATGATCCTAGCTACCCCTCTTCGGAAGAGGTGCCATTGTGCTCTTCGCGTTGGGGCTCTCGACCTTGACGTGCTCTTCGCTATGAGGCTCGAAGAAGAAAAAAAGTCGTAAACATAAACTTTTGGCGCTCCGCCCTCAGGGGGCCCACCGCGGATCCAAGAAATCCGCGCGGAGCGCCAAGAGTCTATGTTTACGGCGTTTTTTGTTTTTCGAGCCTCACAACGAAGAGCACGCCGCGAGGTCGAGAGCCCAAGCGCGAAGAGCACAGTGGCACCTCTTCTGAAGATGGAACCTTGGCGTGCTCTTCGTTGTGAGGCGCCTCCATGGCTTCATGAGGTTTCGGGGAGAGCGCTCAACTTCTCGACCCGCGTTCTCGTGGCCGTGCTTCGTTCCTTCTTTGGCAATCCTGGTGGTAGTAGCACGTTGTGAGGCGCCTCCATGGCCTCGTGGGGCTTCGGCGAGAGGGCTCGCCTTCTTGGCCCGCGTTCCTGTGGCCGTGCTTCGACTGTTTGTTTCTGCCGGGGGGCCCTGAGGGCACGGCCAGGTCCGCCTCGGCATCCTGTGAGGAGGAGGAGGAGGAGGAGAAGTAGGAGGAGATGGAGGAAGAGGAGGAGGAAGAGGAGGAGGAGGAGGAGGAGGAGGAGGAGGAGGAGGAGGAGGAGGAGGAGGAGGAGGAGGAGAGGAGAGGGAGGAGGAGGGGAGGAGGAGGAGGAGGAGGAGGGAGGAGAAGGAGGAGGAGGAGGAGGAGGAGGAGGAGAGGGCGGAGGAGAGGGAGCAGGAGAAAGGGAGCAGGAGAAAGTGAGGAGGAGGAGGAGGAGGAGGAGGAGGTGGAGACCGCGCCCTGGGGAGAGGTCCTCTCCCGCCACGAGGGCCCCAGGTGCCCCCTTCAAAGAGAAGGCGGGCATCAGTCAGTTCCATAGTCGGGACTCGCCCCGAGACGGCGCGCAAAACTTCCAAAGCGGCCGCAAGACCGGGCGTCTGGAATTCGTCCGAGGAACGCCCAAGCGTCAGATGCCTGCAAGATCCCAATGCGAAGTGCTGGCTTGTTGACTCTTGATTTGCGCGGGGACGCGTGTTCGGCGGCGGTGGTGCTCGCAGACGGCGAGCGCGGGGAGCGCGAGCGTCTTGGCGCTCGGAGCCCCAGGGCAGGCCGAAAACGGCGCGCGCCCCGAAAGCATCGACCCTGGCATCCCGAAGTCGACGGGGATTGGCGACGCGTCTTCCAGCGCCTGTCGCGTGTCTCCGCAGGGGCCTGCCCGTCTCAGGGTGATCTGATCATCGCGAACGGTGTGCCTTGTGGAAAGACCGTGCTGCGTGCCTGCCTGGAGATAGCCGTGCTTCCAAGGTGGAGAAGGCGTGCTTGACATGTTGGTATGTTTGCCAGCGTGGGCCCCGAGTAGCCAAATCGTGGATTACTCGCACCCTCGATGTGCAATAGCTGTGGTCCAATCTGCACATCGTGCCACCTGCATGTCAACATGTGTTGCAACCTGTGCATCGCAAAAGTGGTGCAAGCTATGGGGCTGCGGAGTAATACGGTGTGCAGTCTGTATGTGGTGCAACCTATGTGGTGCAGCAGATGTGGTGCAAGCTGTGTGGTTTAAGCTGCATGTCGGCGAGTTGCGGAGTGCAATACACATATATATATATATAGAGAGATATATAGACATGTGTGTATGTATATATATATGTGTGTGACGCGACCCATGGGGTATGACCTACAGGTTGCATGCTATGTGGACCAGTCTACGTGGTGGAGTGCATAAGTATTACGCTTGTTGTGGTGCAATATGTTTGTTGCACCCTATTTGACGCAAGGTAACGGTGTGGAACGTACGTCGTGCAAAATATGGGATCAAGGTCGTCTCTCCACCGGTCAGCATTGAGGCGGTCTGCAGGTTTCATGGTTCGTTTGTGAGTTGTCCATCGTTCACGTCATCTCTCCCTCTCTCTCTCTCTTACTCTCTCTCTCTCTCTCTCTGTCTCTCGCGCCCGCGTCCCTCCCCCCGTTTTTCTACTCACGTGCACCCTGAAGGGCTACTTGAGCGAGCGTCGCTGGCAAAGCCTGGCAGGTGTACTCACGGGAATGTCCTCTAATTGTGTTCCCCATCTTTCCTCTCAGTCAACTTTCTTCGCAACGGTGACAGACGATGCGCTCAGGGTCAGAGGAGCGCGCTGGTTTGTGGAACACCTTATCTCTGGAGTGGTCCCACAAACAGGTTGGCACTCGTGCTGTGGTCGCGTCGTGGTGATGCCGCAGCGATGCGGCGCTGAGTCTGGCCCTTGGCAGTCCCAGCGGCACGCACGTGAAAAGGGCGCCCGTGAGAACGATAGGGGGCCACATGCGAACCCTACCCCTACCCCCCACGATTTCTGAGGGAGAGGGTGTGGTTGGTTCACTTCGCTCGGGAGCTCCCGAGCGAAGTGAACCCCACCCTCTCCCTCAGAAATCGTGGGGGGTAGGGGTAGGGTTCGCATGTGGCCCCTTAAACGACGCTGGGGGGGGGGGGGGTGGGGGGGGGGGGGGGAAAACGCGGTTGCCCGCGCGCCCCCCGGCCCGTCGGGCGCGCGGGGACCCCCAGAGCGACCATGCCCCGCCCCCCCCCCCTTGGCCCACCCGCCGACGGGCACAAGGCCTTGACCCGCACGGAGCCCGAAGAGAGCAACTGGCCTCCATCATGCCCAGGGCCTCCTCCTCCTCCTCCTCCTCCTCCTCCTCCTCCTCCTCCTCCTCCTCCTCCTCCTCCTCCTCCCTCCTCCAGCAGGCAGTGGCGCTGCTCCACAGTGGGGAGCCATGCCAAGGAGCACCCCGCTTGCCTCCAAGGGTGCCCTGGGTTCTTCCTGGGGTTTCGATGGTGCGTGTCTGTGGACAGCGTGACGTTCCCACACCGAAACTCAGTGGACGTCCTGGGGTCCCCGGGTTGGGTTTCTTGTGGGAGGCTTCTTGTGGGCTGGCCTCCACTGGCCTCCATGGGTGGTCCTACAGGGTCCGCCCGCGTGCGAGCCAGCCCCCGAGGGCCGCCGGAGGGCCCGGCAGCGCCGTGACAGCTGCGCCTTTTTCGGGGAAGCTCAAGAGACTGGAGTACGCCAGGACCCGGGTCAGCCGACGTTGTTTGACGAGCGCGTTCTGGATTGTGACGGTCCTGTTTTCGTGGGATGTTTGTAGCGGGAGTTCGCGTCAACTTTCAGGCCAGGTCTTGTCATTTTCGTGATGGCCCCGTCAGGCCAACCCGAGTCCTCCGTACCCGAGTCTTACGTCTCCCCGACTTTTCTGGGTCGCCTTTGAGGGCCCTTCTGCAGCTGCCCTCCCAGCTGTGTTGCATTACATACGAAGCCGCAGTAAGACGGCGCACTGGCACGGAAAAACTACGAATTCGTGCATGCCGAAAAATCGAATAAGAAAACAAAGCGCTGATTGCGAACACACACGCCCATGCCTGGCCTCGATAAAAAAGGACGTCGAAGCGCGCCCCCCTCGCCCCCGCAACTCGAGGCGGACGGGGGGAGCGATCGGCTCCCCGCAAGCTCAGGGAGGCCGTTCCTTTCGAAGCATTTCGCGCTCCCCGCCACATTTGAGGTAGTACGGGGCGCGGGGGGGGGAGGGCGGGGGGAGCTTTTCGGCATTTCGCCTGGCGAGCGTGGACTTCGCAAACGGCGGCATGGGGGGGAACAGTGCACGTGGCTCCATCGATGTGTTTCGCCACCCACCAAACCACCCCAACCCAACCCGGAGGCTTCGATCTGCCTGCCACTTCCAGTGGGAGGGGGTCGGGGAACATAGAGAGTACGCAGACGGAGTCCGACCCGGGGTGGCCCGGTAGGTCGCCGGTGCTGCGTGCGTGCGATGCCCGGTGGGCCTGCTGTGCAGGTGCTGTGCAGATGCCGCGGTGCCGGCCGCGCGACGCAGGAGGCGCCGGCCAGCGCACGGGGTGGGCGGCAGGCGGCGGGCGAACACCCGGCAGGCGGGGATTCCGATCGGCGACGCTGGCTGTGAGAAGGCGGAACCCAGCAAGACCCTGGCGTCGTGGGCTGGACACGCCGGGATCGGCGACGCCGTGAGACGGAGCAGGGCGCGCCAGATCACCTGCGAGAGTGTCACACACTTAGCCAGGGTTGGAGGCGGCCGGGGTGTCCGAGCTGGCTGGCTGGCTGGTTGGGGTGTCCGACGTGCGGGCGGGCACTGGGCGAAGACCAGGAAGTGCCAGCCAACTATCTTTCAGTCGGGCATGTCCCTCTGCAGGAGGAATTTTCAGAACAGTAAAAGGTAAGATGGGAACGATGTTCTATCATTTTCCGATTCTCTGGGTTTTTGATTCTTTTTGATGTTTGTCAGATGTCTTCAAGAACCCGCCTGCAGGAGGACATGCCCGACCGAAAACTATCTGGGAGCAAGGCAACTACCACGTAGCGCAAGGAGCACTTGTCGGAACGACGAGCATCCAACCTCTCTCGAAGGAGAAGAGGGTACCCATATCCCTACCCTTCGCCCCAGTCTCCACGTTTTCGGCCTCCCAGGAGGCCCTCGTCGTCAACGTTGGATTCGCCTCGAAATCCTGGTCAGAACGCACCCGGGGAGAAATCCTGGAAGTAGCGGTATCGGTACCTTTTGGTGTCCCCAATGTTGCCCAAGCGCCGGGGACATCACTTTCCTGGCTTCAGGGAGGGGCTCTGGCTTCCAGGCCGTGCCGCAGACCTGGGTCGGGGAAAGCCCGTTCGTGGCCGAGGCTCGCCGTGGCCAGACCAGTCCACTCGCTCCTTCTTTGGCAGTCCTGGCGGCAGTAGCACGATGGATGTGCACTCGTGCTCGGGTGCTCCTTTGGCCTCGCAAGGATCGTGCGGTGGGCCGCGCGGGAGCACGGGGGCCCCTACGCGTTCCTGCGCGGCGTCGACTCCGCGTCCCGCCTCGCGGCGTAGCCCAGGGAGCCGCCTGAGCGGCGCAGGAGCAGAGCTCCGGGCCGAGTTGCCTCGCCCAGCTGTGCGACGCCTGGAGACGTCGAGGTGGCGGGCTGGTGCTCATGTCTGGGCCCTTGAGGCCGGTGTCGGGCCTCGGGGCAGTCAGGCATCGACTCGGGACGAAAATCCAGTGCCGGGAATGATGGGCCGATGTTCCACCACCACCACCATAGGTAGGAGAGGGAGGAGGAGGAGGAGGAGGAGGAGGAGGAGGAGGAGGAGGAGGCGGAGGAGGAGGAGGAGGAGGACCTCCCCATCCTCCCGTCTCCTCCGTCCTATATATATATATGTATATATATATATGTGTATGGTAGTGGTGGTGGAAAATTGGTCCATCAGCGAATGGGTCGAGAGAGAGAGAGGTCCACAAGCCCGCGCACCGAACGAATCGAAGAGTCGGACGTCTGGGCGGCAGTGCCAAGGGGGGCCACCACTAGACGGCGCGCTCGGGGAAGGGCTTCGCCCTCGAGGCGGTGGCGAGCGAGGGGGGGGGAAGTGAGAAAAAGAAGGCCTGCTCTCAGGGCTCGGAGGACCCGCAGCCTTCCGAGAAGTGTCCTAAGCCTTCCCCGAAGACGGAGAACACTTCTCCTCCTCACAAGGCACGAGGGGGCTTCTGAGAAATCCCGCCTCCTTCTGAGAAGGGCTTCTCCTTCTCACTTCCCCCCTCTCGCTCACCGCCGATCGAGGGCTCGAGAAGCTGACGCCTCGTTGACTCGGAGGAAGCTGGGCGGCAGGCCAGCAGAAGGCGGACGGAAGCCAGCCGCAGGATCCAGGCTCCAAGAGATGCATGTTCGGGCGATGCAGGATCTCTGGAGCGAACCATGCTCTAGAAAACTGCCAGGATTGGCCAGAAGATTCGAGGAAGAAGCACACACCATAAACATAAGCTGTTGGCGCTCCGCGCGAATTTCTTCGATCCGCGCTGCCCCCCCCTGGCGCACAGAGCGACGCCAATCCAGAAATCCAAGAAAGATCAAAGAAATTCTCGCGGAGCGCCAAAAGTTTCCGTTTATGGCGTGCTTCAGTCTCACAAGATGTGGCCTAGTCTGGTTGGGATTGGCCATGGGGCGTGGCCAGGGTGGGTCCGTGGGCTGGTTGGGGCGAGGTCTCGATAGAGAGCCGCTCTGTCCCAGCACAGGTTGCTGGATAGATCGCCCCCCCCCCCCTCCCGAGGATCGAGGCTTGAGGCTGCAGGAGGGTCGAGGTCAGGAGGAGGAGGAGGAGGAGGAGGAGGAGGAGGAGGAGGAGAGTCGAGTCGAGCCCCCCAGCAAAGAAGAGGGCGCCTCGGACACGGGCGCGGCGGGAGGGCACCGCACCGGGGCCGGTCCGACGAGGCGCGCTGGCGTGTTGGGGAGTGTTGGGTTGCTGCTGCTCCCCACCTTTCAGGAGGGGAAAAAACACACAGACACAATTAATCTACGATTCCCAGAAAATATGGGAAAATATGGGAAGTGGGGGGGGGGAGACAAACACCCAGAAAATATAGGAAAATATGGGGGATATTCTTATTTGTGTGTATTTATTTGTGTGTCCCAGTTCCCCTTCAACCTTTCCCAGGAGGAGATGGGGAGCGCCCCCCTAGTGGTGACCCTCTTGGCGTGGCCTCGACTGCCAGGCTGCAGTTGACCTAGGAGGTGGCGACCCCCCCCCTAGCGGTGCATTGCCAGGCCGCTCGCCAGTCAGGCTGTAGCTTGCCTGGGTCGGCTTTGGCGTCCCCTTGTTGAGCTAAGATGCTCAATTGCTCGCTGAGGCAGGCCCATCCTGCATCCTGCTGGCTGCGCCGCCTATTGATCGTGCTTACACGCCCCTGTTCACCAGATCCTTCCTCCTCCCCCTTCTCCGCCTTCACTCTTTCCGCCTCCGCATTCTCCTCACTCCTGGCACTCCGTTCATCCTCATCCTGCCTGACCGGTTGCCACAATCAATTCAAGCATGCAGTAGAAAGACTTGCCATCTGCTGGCCCCGTAAGTGGGGCAGTCGCAGGCGAGCTTTGCAGGGTCAATGTGCAGAGGCCACGGTCGCAAACATGCGAGCGTGCGTCCGCGTCCTCCCACTGCGGAGTGGCGCGAATTGACTCCTCCATCCCCTTTCTCTGCTCCTCTTCCTCCTCCACACCTCCTCCGCCTGCCTCGGGGGGAAACTCGTCCCGCGAGCTCTTCCCTTTGGCGGGGCGCGCGCAACCTGCGGCTGCACGCTGCGCGAGTGCTTAATGCTTGAGCTGTTTCTCTCATCGGCACCAATGACCTACGCACGGCTGGTGCAACAACGGCTTGTGTCGCGCCCGTTCGGGAATTGCCAACCGTACACTGACGCTGATCTTGGCTTACGTCGGGCATGTCCCTCTACAGAAGGAATATTCAAACATAGTCCTAAATAGTTCGGGGGTGATGTTGGTATTGTGCTTCTTATTACTTTTGAGTATGTTCTGACTATTCTTTACGTTTCGTCGAACATCCGCCTGTAGGGGGGCACGCCCGACCTAAATCTTGGCCAGGCCAGTCCCAGGCCCCAGGCTGTTGTCTGGACCTTCCTGGCCGAGGCCACGAGGACATAGGATCGGTCTCCGTGTGTAGCTGGCGTGCTCCTGCGTCGCCCTGCATCGCGCGACGCCATCCTCGCCGTTTCCCGTGCTGTGGTTCGGCCTGGGGAAGCTCGTCCATCGGTCGGGCGGCTCGCCGCGCGTGCCCTCCGCTGAGAGCAGCTTGCGAATGATTGTTTCGTGTGTTCCCTCGTTTGCTCTCTCTCTCTCTCTCTCGCTCTCTCTCTCTCTCTCTTTCTCGCCCTCTCTCTCTCTCTCTCTCTCTCGCTCTCTTCCTCTCTCACTCTCTTCATATCTCTCTCTCTCTCTGTCTGTCTGCCTTTCTCTCTCTCTCTCTCTCTCTGTCTCTCTCTCTCTCTCTATGTATGTACAGACAGGCATGCACACACATACATGGATGTAGACATACAGATCAACCGTCATGCACACATACGTACAAACACACATACATTCAGACATGCACACATGCATGCAAGCATGCATCACTACATGCATACTATGTGCACACATGAATACATACATGCACGGGTGCATGCATACACACATGCATACAAACATGTCTACACACAGACAACGTACACATACATACATACATGCATGCATACATGCATGTACATATGCATGTGCACACGCATAACCAGTTACGTGCACATAGTCATAAACACATACATATACATAGACATAGTCATATACACATGGACATGTACGGATACGTCTACATGCCACATAAATATATACATACACACATGCAAACACATATACATACACATGTACATATACATACACGAATGCATCGATGTACACATATACATATACATATGCACATACATATACATATACATACGTGCATGCATGCATATGCATATACACACATATGTATATATATATATATATATATAGTAATTTCCATGTGGGGCATGCTGGCCCCTAAGATTCGGGCCACCCCCCCTTGTACCACGGTGCCCCCCCCCAGCCCCGGGGCTCTCTGGGCGGCCCCTCCCTGGAGGCCCCGAGACGGCTCAAGATCGCTCCCAAAGCGTTCAGGATAGCCTCCAGGCACCCGGGAGGCTCCCAAGACGCTCTCAGCCTGCCCCAAAGAACGCTCCGAGACGGCTGCACGTGACACCCCGACGGCCCATGAGACGCCCCAGGAGCCACCAGAGAGCCCCAGGAGGCTCCTCAAGACAGCCTCGCGAGACCACAAACAGGGACGGCCCAAGAGGGCCCCAAGGAGACCCCAAGACGGCCCAATATGACCACAAGACGGCCCAAGAGGCCCCCAAGAAAGCCCAGAAGGGCCCCAGGAGAGCCCCAAGAAAGGCCCACGACGGGGAACCCGAGCTATATTCTCGAGCCCCCCACCCCAAGATGACCCCCGAGGCCACCCGGAGGCCCCCAAGAGGCCCCGAGGATACCCAAAAGGGGCACCAAGGAGGCTCCCAGGAGGCTCCGCAGCCGCTTTGGCTCTCAAGCCCGCCCGCCCGCCAGGGAGCCCCCCCCGCGGCAGGCCGCCGCGTGACTATAGCAGGCCCGCGCCGCCCCTCGCGAGCCGCAGCCTCCGAGGCATGGCGCCCGCGGGCCCGCGATCGCCGCGCCGCGGCTCCCGGGGCCTGCCGCTGCTCGTGCTGGCGGCGTGCTTCGTCGTCCAGTACGTCTCGTGGGCCTTCCCCGGCGCCGCCCGGGCCGCGGTGCCCTCGCCCAATCCCGAGGGCGGCGGCTTCATGACGAAGGTGATCGGCGCCGCCGCGCAGGGCGCCACCGCGGCCTTCGTGGCGGCCATCCTCTCGGCGGTGACGGAGCCGCTCGTCAACCGCCTGCTCGTGAAGCGCATGACCTTCGCGCAGGCCTACGCGGAGGTGAACTTCGCCATCGTCAGCAAGTTCTTCCTGACGACCTTCCCCACCAACATGCTGAAGTTCCCCGTCTTCGAGGTGATCAACATCATGCTCTCCTTCACGAGCCTCTCCGGCGGGATCCGCGGCATGATCAACGGCTTCCTCTTCTGCACCATCATGTTGCCGGTGACGAACTATCGCTTCCGGAAGAGCATGGGCTGGGAGATCACGCTGCCTGCGCTCTACCAGGCATACGTGCCCACTGTGGTCCGTGACATTGTCTACGGCTGGTCCCGAGGCTTCGTCGGCGGCGCGATGTCCGACGTCGCGCTCCCCAAGGAGATCCGCTTCGGCATCACCGTCTTCGCCGCGTGCATCATCTCGTCCCCTGGCAACGAGTGGCGCGGGTACACCCTCCAGCCCAAGGAGAAGAAGCTGCCGTTCGCCGAATACTTCAAGCCGATCAACTACGCGCGCTCCACCGGCGTCGGCGCCACCATCATGGGCGTCGCCCTCGGTGTGGGCATGTTCGTCACGCCATACGTGGAGCAGCTCGTGAGCTTCCTCGGCACACTGATCTGAGGCGGCGGCCCAAGGCAGACAGACGGGGGCCAATGCAACTGAGGTCAGCCAGAGCGCTGGATTTTGCAGGATCCTGCAAAGCCAGGGTTGCATTGACCCGGGCTAGCGCGCAGGATCCTGCAAGATCATGCAACTCCTGTTTGACCCAGGTTTGCACTGACCAGGGTCAGTAGATGCCCGAAGTCTGCAACCGCTTGCGAACCATGCGGATCTGCGCCGGGCGGAAGAGGCCGACGGCAAGAGCACGCCCCAGCCAGGATTGTTGGTCTGTCCATGTCAGCCGCTTGGAGCTCCCCCGCGCACTGCTGCAAATTCAATAGATTTTTATTCAGCGCTGATGTTGCTTCCCGCAACAATTTTCGAGTCAAAGCGCGAGACTTTTGGCAAGTAGTTTAAACATTGGTCACGCCATCGTGTGAAGTATGCATGGGGAAAGAGAAAAAAGGAGGCTCCCAAGAGGCCCCGAGGATACCCAAACGAGGCCCCAAGGAGGCGGCTCCCAAGAGGATGAATGCGACTATGGCACGCGCTTGTGCATGATAGATCTGTCCAAGCTCTTCCAGTGCGCCCGTTGGCTGCTCTAGGCGCGCGCGAAGCGCGCGCGCTGTGATTCTAGTATGTATACACACAGTAGACTTCTTCTTAAAATGTATACACACAAGTAGATAGAAACATGAATATATGTGCATATTTATGTATCGGACCCATATACGCAGACATCCCCTTTTCTTCCTCTCTCTCTCTCTCTCTCTCTCCGTCACTACCTCTCTCTCTCTATCTCGTCTACTCGTCCCCCTCTCGTCTTCCCCGTTCCCTTCAGCTCTGAGCTGCCACGCAGTTCAGAGATGGTGTCGAGGCTGGGGCCGAGCCTGAGCTCAGTCAGGCCTCAAGCTGCGCTCCTGTACGTTTCCATGGGGACTGCCGACATTGCGATTTCCCCCTCTGATGCTTCTCCTGCTGCACATCCTCCTCTATCGCTCTTCATTTTGCCGATGCTCCTCCTCTTGCTGATGCTCGTCCTCTTCCTCTCCCTGTTGCTGTTTCTCGCCGTCCTCCTCCTGCTGCCCGAGCTGGTCCCCCCATCCCCTTCTCTTCCATTACTACCCTTTGTTCGTGAGACTCTGACTTGTATCGGCACCCGTGCCTCTGCTCCACGCCGCGCAAATGAAGCGCCCAGGACTCGCGGAGTGAGCGAAAGAGGGCGCAGCCTGAGAGGAGGAGGCGGCGCCCAGAGCCTCCCAGGTGCAGTACAACGACGATTTCTGGGTACGCTCCTGGACCTACTGGTACCAGCACTCGCGCCGCGCTCGGGGTATGTGACTTCGGAGCGCGTTCCATACCTACAGGTACTATTGTTTTGTTGTCGTTGCCTCTCTCTCTCTCTCTCTCTCTCCCTCTAGCTCTCTCTCTCGTTCTCTCTCTCTCTCTCTCTCTTTCTTTCTCTCTTTCACAGATTCCCCGAGCAGTGCTCGCACTCAGGGGTTCTACCTGCCTTCTAAGGTACCCGACGGCGTGTCGCCGCCCGTCGCCTCCGTTGCCGCCGGGCCCCAGTGGCGGTCCGACCAGCCCTGTCGCCGCGCGTCCGCCGTGCACTGTCCTCCGTTGGTTTGCACTGTGTTCTCTCGTGCTGCGCTGGCTTTGTCTTGCTCGGGGGTGGACAGAACCCCCAACAGTGGCACGTCGATTCGTGACTTGTCCGTTTTCGGTTCTCGAGAGGGCGCCGTGGCCGTCATGTTCCAGGCTTGCGCCCGCCAGGTTTGGGCCCGAGGTCGTTTTCACTAAACCACGTTTTACTAGAGGGAGGCCTGTCCATCCCCGAATTGCTTCGTGTCGCATTGTGTTGCTTTGCATTGCTTTGCTACGCATGGCTTGGGTTTGCAGGACTTGGCCTTGCTACGCATTGCTGCGCATGGCTGCGCATTGCTGCGCATGGTGTTTGCACTTCTTTGCATCGCGTTGAAGTGTTTTGTATGTTGTTGCATGTCCTTGCATTGCTTCGCATTGCTTAGCGTTGCTGTGCATTGCATCGCTTTGCATAGCTGTGCATTGCGTTGCATCGCGATGCATTTCTCTGCTGCAGTGTTGTTGCATCGCCTTGCATAGCTGTGCATTGGGTTGCAGTGTTTTGCATTGGTTTGCATTGCGCTGCATCGAATTGCATCGCATTGCATCGCATTGCATCGCATCGCAGTGATGTCACTACTTTGTGTTGCTGTGCATAGGTTTGCAGTTGTTTGCGTTGCTTTGCGTTGATTTGCGTTGCGTTGCATTGCGTTGCACTGGTTTGCATTGCGCTGCCGTGCGTTGCATTGATTTGTTGGACATTGCTTTGTGTTGCGTTGTTTTGCGTTGCTTTGCCTTGCTTGTTACGGGTTCTTGTTTCTTAAACAAGAACAATCTCTACCCCCCCCCGTTTGTATCGGACCCCCCCCTGGAACATTGCAAATACATATGATCCTGCCCCATCGTACATGTTTTGCACTGGTGCTCGTTCCATCCCATGGAGACCCTTTATCGACACCCCCTACCTGTCAAATAATACGCTGCGCGCACACCCGCTTATCAAAAGAAGCATGGTCAACCATCCCTGGCAAGTCGGGACGAAGTCCACACGCGCGCGCCGTCGCGCACGCATGTCGAAGTCCCTCCAGCACCTCAGGTATCGTAAGGAGTTCAAGGTCGGGGTTCGCGGACACTTATGAAAGACCAATGGTTTTCCCAACATTCAGTGTCAAGCCAATCAACGCGCTGCCTTGCGAATTCTTAGGGGAACTACTACTTTCTCGACGCTCTCTTAACATTAAATCAGACTTTCTCTCGCGGGCGCATGTCGAACTCATTCGAACGCCCTTGCGCGCTTCCTTGGGGGGACGATCCCCATCAAACAATATCATGCGGAGCACTCGCGCGCACACGCAGCGCGCGCATGACAAATCCCTTCTTAAGCCTTCATCAGCGACACGTGAACATCATCATCGCCATCGGCGTGACCAGCATCGGTGCCGTCATTAGCCTTGACGTCGTCGTCATCATCATCATCACCATCATCATAATCATTCTCATCATCGCCATCATCATCGTTATCGTCATCTTGACCATCATCGCTCCTATCATCATCGTTTCCGTTTTTGTCGACACCACCATGATACCGCACCCGCCCGAGCTACCGACCCGCACTGAAGTGCCCGCGCGCCATCGCGGGCTGTGAGACGCGCTGGGAAGGCCCCGTCGGTCAGCGCCACCGTGGCCACGGCGGTTGTGCCAAACTAGTTGGGAGCTCCGCGCGCGAGCTTGCGCGCGCTAGCGCGGCCGCAGAGATGCGCCAGCAAGTGCCAAGCAGTCGTCACAATCGCTGCCGCATGGGTTTTGTAAACGAACCTGCGGTTGGGAGGATGTGATAGCGTGAACAGTGGAGTTGGCAACTCACTGTTTACCACAGTTAATTCTCCTTTCTAAAAAGAGAATAGACTCTACCCCCCCCCGGCGTTATCGCCCCCCTTTTCGGGTATGTAATTCACATATGATTCTGACCACATGTCCATCCTAACTTTGAAATCGCAATCTCCCAGGCCAACTGGTATCCCCCCCTGACGTCCCCTTTGTACAAAAAAACCACAATGCGGTGACATTTTTTGTTCTAACATAACACTGTTTTACGAAGCCCTTGCAAAACATGAGACGAAGTGCGCACGCGCGCGTCGTCGCGCGCGCATGCCGAAATCCTTCAAAAATTTTCGGTGCCGGAAAGATTTCGCAATCGGGTTTCCAAACAACATACAAAAACACAGGGTTTCGTAACAGTTATTTGCTAAATAAGCTTACGCGCGAGCTCTCGCGAAATCTCAAGAAAACCATTGTTTTTGTTTTTCCTTCGTTTTGTTTTTTTTGTTTTGCAAACGAGGAGATTGTCACAACATGCTACCAAACGGGCGTCGCGCGCGCGCGCATGTCGAAATCTGTCGAACGCCTTTGCGCGTGTGCCGTCGCGAGAATCCTCTGCAAAAAAAGGGACGAAGTGCAGACGCGCGCGTCGTCGCGCGCGTACGCCGAAATCATGCAAAACCCATCGGTTTCGGAAGGATTTCAAAATCGCGCGTCCAAAAAACCTACAAAAACACAATATTTCGCAACACGGATTTTCAACAAAAGCGTGCGCGCGCGCTCTTGCGGCGTCGTCGTCGTCGTCGTCGTCGTCGTCGTTGTCGTCGTCGTCGTCGTCGTCGTCGCTGTCCTCCCTCCTCCCGCGTCGTCGTCGTCGTCGTCGTCGCCTACGTCGTCCTGTGTCTTTCCTCGTGTTCGTCGTCGTCTTTGGCGTCGTGGTCGTTTCCGTCGTCGTTGTCGCCGTGGTCGTCCTTCCTCCTCCTCCCTCGTCGTCGTCGTCGGCGTCCGTCGTCGGCGTCTCGTCGTCTTTCCTCCTATTTCGTCGCCGTCGTCGTCGTCGTTGTCGTCGTCGTCTCGTCGTCGTCTTCCCTCCTCCCTCGTCGTTATCGTCGTCGGCGTCGCCGTCCTCCCTCCTTCTTCGTCGTTCTCGTCGTCGCCGTCCTCCCTCCTCCCTCGTTGTCATCGTTGTCGTCGTTGTTGCCGTCGTCGTCCTTCCTCCTCCCTCGTCGTCGTCTTCGTTGGCGACGTCGTCGTCGTCTTCGTCGTCGTCGTCGGCGTCGGCGTCGTCGTCTTCGTCGTCGTCGACGTCGGCGTCGTCGTCGTCGCCGCCGTCGTCGTCGTCGTCGTCGTCGTCGTCGGCCGTCTTGCTTCTCCGGCCTTCTTGGGGCGCCCTTTAGACGCCCCCGAGGGCTCCAAGACGACCCCGGAGCGATATCTGTGCTCGGTCCCGCATGGGTTTTGCAAACCAAGTTGCGGGTGGGTGGGTGGGATGATTGCGCGAGCAGTGGAGTTGACCTTTTCAGGTTCGGTAAGTGGCTAATTACCCTGGCGACGTACCCAACCCCTGCGCAAAAGCGGGGCGCAAATAGTTTAGGATACTTTATAAGGGGGCGATGACGGAGCGAGGGTTACATATGTCTGCAGACGGAATTCGGGAGACTCGCAGGACACTGGCTACAGGAAAAGGGCTTGATAAAGCTGATGATTTACAATTCCTGAGCACTCCTAGCCACTTCGAAAACGGGGATCACAGCAGGCCTCGAAAGTGGCGACAGGTTCACAGATCGCAGCCCCGCAGGGATGGCGAGGTCTCATTTGAATTTGCCCGTGGCCCTCACTGTGCTGGGCCCCCCAGCAGGCCTCGAAAATGGCGGCAGTTTCGCAGATCGCAGCCCCCCAGGGATGGCGAGGTCTAATTTGAATCCGCGCGTGGCCCTCACTGTGCTGGGCCCCCCAGCAGGCCTCGAAAATGGCGACAGTTTCACAGATCGCAGCCCCCCAGGGATGGCGAGGTCTAATTTGAATCTGCCCGTGGCCCTCACTGTGCTGGGCCCCCCAGCAGGCC